ATCGGCCAGATCACTGTCCTTACAGGGTTTGGGCTGTGGTGTTCTTCCCCACTCTGTAACTCCCCTAGCCTTTGACAGCTTCCTCCTGTCCTTCCAGATCCAGCTCAGGGTCATGTTCTGTGGGTGTTTCTCCTGGGAGCTCCGCTTTGTACAAGGGTTTTCTGTCACCCTGTTCATGCTGCTTTCACGTCAGTTACTGATATTGTAGTCATGTGTTCGGATATTGTCCCAGCACCATCACCTACTCTGCCATGAGCCCCTTGAGACTAGGGACTTTAATGCTCTTTGCATCTCCTGTAGTGTCTGGCCCAGGTGGATGGTTATGTTGAAGGGATGAAAAAAGTCTGTTTCAGCACTAGCAGGAATTCATCCTGCGGTCCCTTGGCTGGCTGGACGCTGCCGTAATTGGGGAGGCAGAGGTCCCAGCTCTCGAGAAGGCTACAGTAGGACATTTTTTGCTTTCTTTCCTGATCCAGAATTAATCTGATTTACTCCACAGCCCCCTTGTCTGGGAAGGTTTATAATCCTAATTGGATCCTGTCTCTATTTTCTAGGCTGTGTGGATGCCTGGGAGCCCAAAGTGCTACGGGCAGCAATGGGTGCGCATTTCCAGGTGCCCATCGTCAATAATCTGGACTGGGAAACCTTGCCCAACTACCTGCCCACCGACACACGGGTCTACGTGGCTGATAACTGCGGCCTTTATGCCCAGGCCCAGATGCCTAGTAAAGCCAGTGACCACGGTTGGGTATGTGAGCGACGACTCTCGAAATTGCACAACTATGAGGAAGAAGACGATGATCTAGAACCTGGAGCCAGTAAGGCCTGGCTCCCTGAACTTGAGGTCCAGAGTTATGACTTGGACTGGACAGAGGCACCAGCAGCTGTGGTGATAGGTGGGGAGACCCACGGCGTGAGCCTGGAGTCCCTGCAGTTGGCCGAGAGCACTGGGGGCAAGAGGCTGCTGATCCCCGTCGTGCCTGGTGTAGACAGCCTAAACTCGGCTATGGCTGCCAGCATCCTGCTTTTTGAAGGGAAAAGACAACTACGTGTGAGGGCAGAACACTCGAGCAGGGACAGGAGTTACCACTGAGACGGAACATGGAAGTCAGTGCTTGGTTTGAGGGGGTCCCAGCCCCTCCTGCATTGTTAGGAGATAGGCAGAGTTGGTAACTGTGGCTTCCCAGGCCATATCCAGGAGGCAAGAGGTGGGCAAGACGCTATTACGTGGTTATTGGAAAAATAAGAATTTCCATGAATCTGCTTATCCTCCAAAATAACAAGGGTGAGAATTCTTCCTGAGATCTCCCCCTGCTCCCTAACAAAACTTCCTCTTGAGAGAACGCAAAGATCAAGCATGACTCGTGCCCCAAGTGGTGGCAGAGTGGGATTGCTTTGATAGGTTGGAGGGGAGAGGTTTTGGCAGGAACAGTCTCTTGGGTTGGCTGTGCTCTCCCAGGCGGACAGCCTGGAATCGCCACACTGGTGCCCCGCTGTAGTCCGGGCCTGCCCGGGGCCTCACACAAATGCCTGATGCAAGTGGCCCACACGTTGTTCTCGACGCCCTCCATGCCCTGTCAGCTTTCAGAAGGTAGAAGAGCCCACAAAGGCTGTGGCCTGGCCCTCTAGCTTCGCAGAGCTGTGATGCCTGTCCCACCAGCGGGCTGAGTCCGGGAGGCAGCTCAGGGACCTGTACCACTGAAGTCTGTTGGCATTTGTTCTCAGCACCTTGGAAAAGTACTAAGAAAGCAGAGGTCACTAACAGGAGGTTCATGCCTTTCCAGCATGAAACCAGTCTCCTGCAGCTTTGTCCTGGATTATTGTTCCTGCTGATCCTCGTTACAAAATAAAGATCAATGAAAGAGCAACAAACCCTGTGCCTTGTTCCTGTTAAAACAGTGTAAAAGATGTATACCTGGGCACGTAATTCTGAGCCTATTTTACCACACTGGGTGAAAGAAAAGAAATTTACATCCCATTCACTTTCTAGTCAGTGACTTATATACCGTGTCTCAGAAGTTCTTTCTGTGTATTTGTGATGATAATTTAGCAGAGAGGAGGGCAAGCTTTCCTTTCTTTAAAATGACTACAGGGGAAGCAGGTGGTGGCGAAGTTCTTGTTTGTTGAGTGATAATGGAAAATTGTCTCTTGAATTCTTTTCCATTTTAAGGCCAGCATTTCCTTTTTCACCACTTCCCCAGGAAATCAGAATGAAAAAATGAGCAGTACATGACCAGCAATGGGCTCAGGGAAGCTGGGGGATGGTTGGCCTAGGGGCGCCTCGCCTTCGTGTGGCGCGAGTGCTGGGGGTGATTTCTGCCACGAGGTGGCAGCCGTGCTTCAAAACCACTCCCAGCCCCGAAGGGAGGGTTCGGGTTTTCCTGGATTCACTCAAGTTGGAAAGGAGTCCAGTCTCTCTCCACAGAGGGTGTTCTGCAGGCCACCCGTGTTCGGAGGGGCTGAGGGTGGAGACCCATCCAGCTTCTCATTCTCTCGGAATCTGAAGCCTAGATAGACGTCGGACCAAAAAACTAAGGAGGAATTGGACAGAGGGGAAGTGGCTTGCAGCAAGGAAAAGTGGCCCACCTTCTTCGCGTGAGTGGAACGTCTGGGAAAGCGCTGGGCAAATGCTGCTGTCCCCGGATGCCTGCAACTCCGCCTGGGGACCCTCACCCCGGTTTGGAGCAGGGAGAGCTGCAGAGTCCTTTCCCGGCCCCCGGCCCCCAGCCCCAGCAGCCAGCTCGCCGGGAGAATCCTGTCGTTAGGGCCCAGAGGGTGAGCCAGACCTCCAGGGACGGGTCTCCACGTTTCACCTGGGACCTTCTACCCCTCGCCCCGTGGTTGATAGGAACACCTGATGTCCCCTTCCAAGCTGAGCTTTTAGCTCCACTTTTGTCATCTTGCCCCACAAAGACCCCAGCAGCAGCACCTCACCCGGGGTCCTGTGACTAGTGCTGAAAGCCACCAGCTGGGCTGCAGGGCCAGGGTACCCCCCACCCCCGAGGCCCAGCCCCTCAGCCCACCCCTCACCGGGAGCAGATCTGGCTGGCTCACTTAAACAATTTTAGGAAACACGTATACATCTTTAAACTCCAAGAACTTACGTTGTCTTCATCAGTGAACGCACAAAGCTAGAAGCCAAATGAACGGACGAGCTCTTCATGGGCTCTGCTGTGGGCGACTGAAAGTCTGAACTAGGTTGCCACGTTGCATCGGTGCGGCTGAGACGGAGCCCACAAGCCGGGCCACGCTGGCTGGACTCGGGAAGCTGCGGCCAAGGCCAACACTCAGAGGCCAAGCGTGACCGAGTCTGAATGCGTTACAGATGGCATAGGTTCTCTTCCTACGTTTGTATTGTAGGGAAGCTACCGTCTTCAGCCGAAGCCGCCTATTTGGAGGGCCCTCCTCAGAGCTGTTGCTACTTCAGAACGCAAGAAAGGAACAAGGGTTGCGGGGCAGGGTGGACAGGGCCGCAGCAGGCTCTGGCCTCCCAGCTTCCCTCACCTCTGCGATGTGTGTTGGGGGGGGGGGTGCATGCTGACTGCAGACCAGCAGAGTGGCTCCTGATTGGTTGGGGACTTCCTTCCACATCCTGTGATGTCCAAAGGAGATTTCGTTTTGAGCCCTGGGTTCCAAGATCATGCCTCCTACCGTATCCTAGTTCTAGCCCCTGTGGCTGACCGGCTTGTGTGAGGCACGAGCACCCAGGAATCCAGACTTGGGGCTGCCTGCCTCCTTTGGGCTGCACACTGGCCGACAGGCTTGGGGACAGGCTTCCATGAGTTGGTGGTACATTACTTAATAGAAATCCAACAGTCCTTCAGAACAAGCCCTACCCAACTGCCAATAACACACTTCCTGGCTTGGGAAGGATTCCAAACCCCAAGGGGCTGGGACACATGCCTTAAACAAAGAATTTTTTTCATGCTTTCATGTTTGAGGCATGCCTAGGACATCCTAATGTCGTATTTCCCCCACTAGAAGGAGAAATCCCAGCCATAAGTAGACACAATATAAAATTTGCCTACAAAGCGCCTCCTGATTCCCGGAAAATATTTCCCGTGCACCATTTACTAACACTGAATAATCAAAAATGACGCTAATAGGCAACAGCCATTTGTCAACAAAGAATCTTCCCTTTGGCGGCCGGCCTGGATGTAAGTCGTGGGGTCAGCAAAGAGGGATGCAGGTGAAGTGCTTACTTCTACACAGCTGCTCCAGGGAGGGAACTTGAAAGACCCCGAGCTCTGGGCCTCCGGGTCAGTCCTCTGTTCACATAGCACCACCCAAAGGAGCCACAGAGGGCCAGTGCGGAAGCTCCCCCACGGTCCACATGAGGCCATGTTCCAGTCCTTTGGGGCAAGCATGGGCCTCCCCAGCCCGGCCCGGGGAAATGACTTACGATTAGGATGTGCCTGCACCTGTGTGTCTGGAGGGGGCTGGGCCAGGTGCCTGCTCAGATCTCTCCCAGAGCTACAATCCAAGTGTACATGCGCACGCGCACTCACACACACACACACGGTATTCTCCCTAAGCTGAGACACACACACGGTGTTCTCCCTAAGCTGAGAGAGACACACACACACACACACATGGTGTTCTCCCTAAGCTGATACCTGATTGGGTCCCGCTGATCTGATCTTGGACCATGGTTCTGTCTCTAGATCACTACAGAACTCCATTTGCTACCCTGGAACAAGGCTACCCTGGAACAAGGCGGCAGGAGGAGAGAACAGCTTTTTTGTGTCTTTAATTAGGCAAGAGGCAAAAACAAAGTCTGGCTGAAAACTACCACTTGAAGCTTGGCTGATGCCAAAACAGTACTGGCTCCCTGTGCTTGGAGAAGTGAGAGCCACCGAATTTGGGGACACACTTCGAGATGATGGGTGGGTGGGGGGAGGCAGGCAGCCACCTCACTCCTGGAAAGGAAGCTTTGGTTGCGCCTTGGCATTCAGCGCTGCCCACTGTACATACCAATTCCAGACACATACCCTTTTTTCTTAACCAGATCTTTATTGTTGGGGACAGGTAAAAAAATCTCATCTCTGTTGTGAAAATGGGTAGAATCGGATCTGGAGGTCATTGTGGCGAGCACAAGATCTGGAACCCCAGGGTGGCATTTTTACAGCCCACCTTCCTGCCTCAACCTGCTGGGGCGCGGGTTTCCCTCGTTGCTGACGGAAGCCCTTGAAGAGATCACAGCCAGAGTTTTAACCTGCTTCCAATTAGTGACAAGAATTAAGGTATTTTGGAGCTGCTTAGTGGGAATTAGGAAACCACCCACTCTGTCTGCATCAAGAACCTTTAGGATCTCTGGCACCACTGAGACAGGGTTTTCCTGGCACTGGTGAAGTGGTCCTCCCCCAGCGTTTCCCCTCAAAGCCGCCATATAAACCTAAAGCTTTTTTGTAGTAAACCTTCCCACTGATCCTAAGCTACACACTCACTCTCGGAGGGGAATTCTGGTGGTAGGGAGCCCGCTGCCCTTAGTGGCAAGTAGTTCAGTCAGCGCCGTAAGGCCAGAGGACAATCACAGATGACCTAATTTTTCTGCTGCAGGGACTTACAGGGACCCCTCACTAGACTCTGTTCCTTCTGCACCAGAAGAGAAGTAGTTGCTGAGAGAGACCACTTTTTCTCCAAGGCTATCATGATATGGGACACAGGCAGAAATCCAAAGAAACCCATCTTCCAAGTGAGGTGGAGCTCACCTTGTCCCCGCATCCACCGCACACCCAGAGGAGACACAGGCAGGGTTTCCAGAGAAGCCCCTAGCCCAGGCTAGAGCTAGGGCTGAGGGTCTCCAGCTATTGCCTGTTCTTCACAGGGAGACCTGCGTGGGATTCCTCGTTTCTGCAACTGGCCTCCTTGGGCTTCAGAGCACTTGTTCCCCTGTGGGGAGGGAATGAGCACCAGGGTCCACAAGGAGGCCTGTGACCAGAGAATCCACCCTCCGCCAGCACAAGTGGAACCAGGAGAGATGGCAGCCAGAGCTCCGGCAGGGATCTGCCTCTGGTGCTCTACGCCAAAGGAACTCCTTGGCTTCAGGCAACCAGTTCTCGATAATTCTGGAACACAGCTACTAAGGTATCCAAAGAAAGTCAAGAGGATCTTGTATGCTCCCCCCCAGAGCCCAGCACTACAAGCAAAAAGATCTCTGTTATTAAGCACAGGAAAGGCCAAGTCGTTGATGATGTCCAGAGTTGCCTGCTTTATTTCTTACTAGGTGGTTGCATTTCAGGCTTGCGCCATCAAGTAACTGTCTAATTACCAACTAACTTTGTGCCTCTGAACTACTCGTCAACAATCCAATTCAGCAAGGAGCAGTGGTGTCAACAGCTGGTGGGGGGCCGGGTTTTCCAAATCGGTGGTCTTGGCTGACAAGTGGAGCCAAGGGTAAGGCCTGTGACCGTATGAAAGACCCTAACGCCTGGTCGAGAGAGGCCCAAACCCTGTGAACCCCTAGGCAAAGCCCTCCACCCCAAGTGCCAAGGACACAACTGTTATTTTTCTTCTGTGAGAGCCAAGCTACTGGAGCCTAGCCGAGTGGATCCAAGGCCTACTTTTAGTGGACAAGTCCTCTGCTCCCACTGCCACCCTATGACACAGCTCCTTGTGCAGGTTCTTAGGGAAAAGCTAGGCTTCTGGTAATTTCTTGTCTCTTTTTAGTTCTGCTTTGAAAAGAAAAGAGGGATGACGGGTAACCAAAGGCGGACACAGGCACCTGGGCAGAGCCGCAGTGGCCCCAGGCCCAGAGCTGGGCCGAGTCAGAGGTCTGCGCTCTCCTCTAAGGACACAGGGCTGGGTGCCTCTCGGGAAGCTGTCCAAGGGGGAAGAATTTATGAATAAAATTCCAAGACAGTAGAGACTGTTCGTACGAGAAGGCAGAAACTTGGAGAAGGTAAGATCCAGGAAGAAAGACGTAAGGAAAACACGAGAAGCTCTTATCACGTGGTAGGAGCTCGGAGGAAGCAGTTACTACACGAATCGTTACCAGAGCTAGTCCTTTTCTCCCCAAGAAGGAGCACGAGCTTCCTTCGCGATCTTGCGATCCCCTGGCCCGAGAACGAGGTGCCAAGCCGGTGTTTTTCCCTCACACCGAGAGAGAGACGGACTCACTTAAGACAAAGGCCGTTCCCGTCAGCAGCTCCGAGCGGAGGCTTCGCGAGCCCGAGGCCCTTTCCCTGCTCCACCCGCACGTACGGACGTGCGTCACTGCGTCACTGCGCTGGCCTGGGCCCTGCGTGCCGTGCGGACGCCGGGGGCGGGGCCAGAGCGCCGGGGCGCTCTCCCTTCATGCTCGCTAGGCGCAGGACCAGCGGGTACGTACTTCATCGAGAGCCCGTGACGGGGGGCGCGCTGGTCCCGAGCAGGGTCTCCAGACACGGCGGGTTCTTGTGCTGCGGAGAGGCTGTGCACCTTAGGGTGCTGGCTGAGGAGTTAATGCAGAAAACAAGGCACCACAGAGAGGTTGGACACTTGGGTTGTGTGATTCGGGACACGCTGGAAAAGTCCAAGGGTGGAGGGAAGGAAGGGGAGGAGGAAGAGGAGAAGACCAAGTTTTAAATAACGTCTCCTGAGGCTGGAGCCCCCTAGATGGGCTCTGGTTTGAGCTTTTCTGCTAGGAAGTCATTCACAAAGGCCTCCACAATGGCGGGGGTGATCTCCTCCACGTCCATCACGTACTTGGCCCGGGCTGACATGTCCAGAATGGTGAGCAAAGGGGCAGCCTCCGGCAGGTTGGTGTAATCGCGCAGGGAGTCAGTCATGTCATCCTGGAAGTCACCAGAGGGAGAGAACACGAGTAAGTCTTCCAGAAAGAGGATAGAGAGATCCCCCCCCGCCCTCCGACGGCATGGAAAGCCGCCACTCCAGTGCCCCGAAGAGTGGGTGGCCCTCCGGGAAAGACGGGCTCTCAGAACAGGGAGCAGTGGACTCGACCCTGCCTTGGAGAATTCTCTCTGCCTCTCCCCAGACCACCAGACAAGTCCTCTTTCTTTATTAGCACAAAAGCAACTTCAGCGTGTCCTCTGCTGGCTAACAATGTGTTGTCCTTTAATGACTTCCTTTTGCCGTTACCTCTCAATTATTTGCAGACCCACTGTGGATGTCTGAGGCCAGTCTGGACTTCCAGATCTGGAATGATGTGAACAGAAACGGCTCACTGTCCCCACCCGCCCCCCCCCCGAGGTTCAGGGGGGCAGGAGCTGCACAGTCAGTTCAGAAGACAGGGTTCCTGAAGCTTCCACAGGGGCCTGTACTGATCATACATTCCCACGGACTGTCCAGGTGAATTTCCCTTATTAAGGATAAAAGCAAACCCAGAAATCCAAAGACTAGTGCAAGAGTTTGTAAGGGAGCAACGATCTGAGATTACCTCTCAGGCTACCGCCCCCCATTTGGTAGAGAGCAGGAAACGGACTCCATACACCCACCCCGAGGCTAGGTCACTATAAAACACACGCAGCCTTCTGAACTGGATGAAGACCCAAGTGCCTCTGCACAGGAAGGGCTTGGGGCATTCCTGGCCTTAAATGCTGGCGAGCAGGAGGCACGAAATCTACCACTCACTGGTTTCTCAGACAAAAAAAAAACACATTCCTTTCTCAAAAGGCAGATCTTTAGGCAGATGATTAGAAACCGCATGCACTTCCGGCAGTGATGGGTGATTCAGCATCTCTGGCACTGTTGACCCCACCCAGGCCCTCCGTGTGGGTTAATAAACGATCTTCATGATAAAGCAGAGGGGAGGCACCTGGACAACGACGACTGTACATTGAATTCCCATTAGGAGGCCTGAGCCAAGCTGAGCACAGTGCTGGGCCCCTCCCCTCTCCCTCGGAGCAAACCACAGGGAGATGAATTTTAATGTCTACTAAAGCTTCAGATGGGATGACTTCTGCCTGTCTGAGCAGGAGGGCTCACGACAAACACCCTTAGCCCTGCGAGGAGTGGGAGAGGGCCAGAGTCCTGGCTCAGAGGTGCCCCGCCAGTGCTCGATGACCCAGCACCCCGTGCCCATCCCCTTCCATGCCACCTGGCTTCTGAGCACGAGACCAGAGAATTGGACCAAGAGAGCTGCCGAGGTCAGGAGCCCAGGTGAAGTGCACAGGAAGGACAGGACAGCCAGGCGAGGAGCTGGACAGTGGATGACTCTGTCAGACCCTCCTCTGTCCTGGTGTAGGCATCCTGCCCCTGGGGCCTGGCCACCTGCCAGACCACGTGGACGGAGGAGTGAAAACACTACTTGTGGAGTCCCACTGACCTCACGTTCAGTCTTCTGCACCCCCTACTTAACGTGTGGCTTTGATAAGTCACTTCTGTCAGCCCAGGCCTTGTCCCCTGTGAAATGGATTCAAGAACGGCTCGCATGGGGCAGGTGCTAGCCAGTGGGTGAGCCAGCAAGGACTCACAGCCCGGCCAACCGACCAGAGCTGGGACCGGACCTGGGAGCTGTCTGGCTCTCTCCAAGCCTCGCTCTCCTCATCTGTGAAACAGAATGACGCCATTCCCAGTCCGAGAGGTGAGGAGCAAATGGGAGGGTGCCGGGCTCGCTCCGCTTGCTGCCTGGTGCATAGAAGACCTGCAAATGTGCCTTTTCAGCCACGTTCCTAATGCACTTACTGGAACTCCCCAGCCCCACCCCTGCCCCTGGCTGGGCCCCTTCTGTTCCACACCCATCTTTTCTCTCACAGCCATTTGAAAGGGGTTAGAGTTTAATATATTCAGAGCGGCTTCCATTTGTGCTTTGTGTGGAGCGGGCTTGTATAGCCCCAAGGCAGGGCCCTGTGAACCTGCTTTGTTCCCTCCACCCCACAGCAGAGCAGGGTGACTTCAGCTGCCTGAGAGGGGCCCAAGGGGCCTGGCAGGGCTTAGCAGGGGTGGCTATTGAAGAGGTGATGAATGGGTGGTCATTCAGGGTGTCTGGCCGCGCTGCCTCTCGGGGGAACCAAATAGCACAGCATGAAGTGAGTGCAGGGCTCTGACCAACTGGGGATGCTGATGGGTGGAAACAGGGCAGGGGGCTTCCAAAAGTGTGTCTGTCAATAACCAGCTTCTGGCCGGCGCCCGGGGGTGGAGGGGTGGCGGAGCATGCGTGGACGGGCTTCCTGGGGGTGGGGACTGAGCCAGAGTGGCGACAGCCATCTTGCAGGGATCCCCGCATCAGCAGGACAGAGGCTCCTGCACCTGTGGGAGGCGGCCCCAGCTGAGCACCCGGCCTTCTCACCCTGTGGGAATTCCTCTGCACATGTCCATCCCAGCTGGAGGCCTTCAAGGGACAGGCCTGGGGTGAAAAGAGATTGGGACAGCAGCAGTGTCCAACCTCAGCACTCTCTCCGGGGCCGGCTGGGGACATGCAGGTCTGAGCTGTGGATGCCTGCCATGGGAAGAGCCCACTTTGCAGGCCAGGGCCGAGGGACTAGCCAAGCAGACGTTTTGTAAAGCATCCAGGGCCTGGTCTGCACCCAGCCAGGAGGGAGGGAGTGCTGATGACCATCTCTGTGGCTGCCACTCTTCCTAGCAGCCTGGGGGGGCGGGTAGAGGTGCAAGAGGCAGCCCCTTCCCGGGAGGGCACCCTGCGGCTCTGAGTGGCAAACAAGGCAGGAATGTACAGCAGCGACACGAAATGGTTTTCCGTGCGGGATGACACACCTTTTCATGCCACACGTGTCTGTGGGTTCTCCACCCCAGATCCCGGGGCTCCTTCAAACATCCCCTAGAGCCGCATCACTCCTGTCCCAAAAGTTGGCCCACTGAGCAGCCAGCGGGCCAGGTCCCAGTGGCACTCACCTCCCCTGCCACAAAGAACAGAAGTGGCGCCTCCTCCTCTTTGGCTTTGTACTTGGCAATGATCTTCTCGGCTATTGGCTGGATCAGCTGCTTGGCTGCCTCAGACTCCCCATCATCCTCAGAATCTGTAATGGGGAGAGAGAGACACAAGAGGCACTGGTTTGTGGAGCAGATGGAGTGGCGCCCCCTGAGGGAGCTGGGTCCTGGGCCTGAAACGCCCATCTGGGCAGCCCCTGAATGGAAACCAGATTTCCCCTGGGACACAGGCCTCGCCTCCGGGGTACGGGAGGGTTGTGTCCGCGGCGCGTTCACACCACCGCACTGGGCTCCTCCCCGAGTGTCATTAATACCCCAGGTGCCACGATTCTTTCCACCGAATTCTGCACAAACTGGCCTTAGAAGCTGAGCTTCCTCGAAGCCAGGACCTGAGGCCCTTGTAGTTTTTCTCTCAATCACAGAGCCACAGAATGACCTCGCATCTGATTTCTTACTGAAAATGGCAGAAGGGGTGGTGGCGGGGGGTCAGGACTGCAGTCCCGTCAGCAGCTTTGTGGCAGTGGGGTGACACCAGGACCCCGGAAAGCCAACTTCACAGCTGGCCGGACTCGCCTGGGAGGGGATGGACTGCTTGACTGGGTGCCCCAGAGCCCCCTTTAGTCATTTCTTGCCTCCAGTGAAAGAGCAGCGTGGGGGCAGTCACACCCCGGGGCCCTGGGCATCACTCCTGCAGGACCCTGTAACCCAGAACAAGAGCAACTGCCCAGGTGTCAAAGCGGGGAAGGGGAGGCAGGCAGCAGGATTTTCACCCAGCAATGCCCCACTGCCCCAGGGGCCCGCAGCGTGCAGACGCGGCAGGACGTATTCCTGATCCACATCTAACCCGCTCTGCAATGCTGGGAACTCGCTTTGCCTCTCTGGGACCTCTTTACCAACATCTACAGAGGGCCAGTGAGATGCAGTTGTCCCCCAGTTCAGGACTGTTTCCCAGAGGCCCCGGGATGTGGGTGTGTGAGCCAGCGGCCAGCAGCAAAGCCCTGAGGACAAGGACTCCCCAAGGCCATCTTTCCCCAGGAGACCTCTGTTCTCTTGAGCACAGGGACCAGCGTGCAAGTCAGTTTGTGTAAGAATTCCCATGAGTCTGCATATTGGCGCCCCTCGTGGAGGCCCCCACACCAGATTTCCAGAGCACCTCCCTCACCAACCCCATCAGTCTAAGTGGGTATGGTGGCATCTCAGCCATGGTCCTAGAACCCCAAACTATTTTGAGCTGGAGCTGAGTAACACGTCCCAAGGCAGAAGGTGAGGTGGCCCTTGGCCAGTAGTCGCTCCGTTTGCAAAAGGAACAGGGGTCATCCCACAGGGCTGCAGGGAGCCTGGAGTGGACGTTCTGGTGTCTTCTTGCCCCGCAGAGCAGTCACCCACTGAGCAGAGAGCGGGCCGACTGAGAGGGGCACCCGGCCACAGAGATGCCGCCCTGAGGCTGGGAGCGGGGGGCCTTTGCTCAAGGGGGCCTGGCCCCTGCAGCTGCTGTGCTCGCTGCCCGCCTCCTTCCAACAATGGGTCTGGTCGTGGGGGCCGGACTCCCGCCTGACCTATTCTTCCCAGCTGGCAGTCCAGGAAGGCAAGCACAGCGGCAGCTCCCAGAACCCCTCCCGCAGGGGCAGAGCCATGAATAAATCATTGGGGTCAAAAGCAAGGCTGCTGGGAGAGACAAAGGCCCAGGCTTGGCATTGTTGGTGACAGAAAGAAGCTGCAGGGACGGACATCCCCCCCCTACACACGTGAGGTCTGTGGCGTCCAGCCCACCCTGGGGCTCCTGCCGGGCTTCCTACCTACAAACAGGACGAGGCAGGGGCCCTCGTTGAGCTGCACGGCGTTGGAGTCGGAGAGCTCCAGCACGGGCTTGGGGTGCCACGGGAACTCCCTGCAGTCCTCATCGTTCAGCACCTCCACACGCCCCTGCCGCGTGATCACCTCCCCCTGGGGGTCCAGCACGATGAGGGTGGGGATGCCTGCAAGGGAGAGAGAGCTCGCTTGAGAGTCGGGAGGTGCTGGGCCGGATTCCAGGCTCAGCCACTGAACAGCCACAGGACTCCCTTGCCACTTCTACAGGGAAGCCGGCAACTCACTTCCCCTCTCCAGGCCTCAGCGTCGGGCAATGTGGTGAATGCACGACAGTTCCCTCCTTCTCTCACTTTGTAAAGATCAACGAGGTGGTGCATTTAAAGAACTTAACACAGGGTCTTGGCACATAGACGCACTTAGTAAATCCTCATGAGATCTCAAAGAAGCAGAAGACACCCCTGCCACCTGCAGGGGACCTAAAACCTAACCGATGTGGTGTGAAAACACCCTCCCAAGCCAGCACAGATCAACCCGGGCAGTGGGCGTCCGCACACAGGCAGGCCACCCCGCCAATGGGAGCAAAGGGGCCAGAGGAGGGGAGGAGCCTGGGGCAGGGGCTGCACACAACGGGACAGCTGGCTGCCGGTGAGCCCGCGACCCCACCCCCATCTCCAGCCCTGCTGCCTGGGGAGGTTCTAGTACCCGCTCTGAAGGGGACAGTCCCTGGACGGAGCACGCTGACTTTAGAGTCCGGGGCTGGAGTAAGAAATGCAACACAGAACTCTGGGCAACCCACACACATCCCCAACCATAAAGCTCCAAGTGAAAAACCAGAGAAAACCCCATCCTGGGTTACAGTGGCATTTGGGATTTCTACCTCCTTGCTTTGTACCCCATTGCCTGCTGTCTCTCCCCCAGCCAGGGTCCCCCCTACCAACCACAACCCTTAGCCACGGCTCTGCCCTTCTGGAGACACTTGTCTCTCCGCTGGAGCAGCTCCCCTCCCCCAACCCCCTCTGCCCCGCCCCCAACCAGCCACCTCTCCTCTGGAGCTGACCAGAGCTTTAATTTTATATAGGCCAGTGAAAGCCACAGCAATTTAATATTTATAGATTTCAAAGTATTCAGTGATAATTTGCTCCACTGACATTTCACTTCTCTGTGGGGGGGCGGGGGAGGGGACAGGTGTCGAGGCACCAGGAAAATGGCTCTAGTGTTTTGTAACCTGGCGCGGCTGCTGGCGCAGCAGGCATGCAGTGGTGGGCCTGTCTTCAGAAGGACTTAAACAAGTCCATTATGTTCACACCTATTAGAAGGAAGTGGCTTGGCATGTCAGAGAACAGGTCCAGAGAGAAACGGGCTCCGGAGAACTGTCATTCCCACTGCATCATGTACAGACGCGTGCAGCCGGGGCTCCTGGGGGCTTTTAGGACATTCTCAGGGCCGGCCAGGCCTCCTGAATTGTGTGTCACACAGAGCACAAGAGACTTGGGGCGTTCCCAGCCTCATCCTTAGAGCTGCATGCCAGCCTCCAGAGTCTGCGCTCCCCATCCCCGAGGATGCAGCTGGGCACCGCGACAGGCCAGCTGGCTGTGGGCCAGTGCCTCCCGTCGCCATGCCCCATCTCAAATTTGCTTTGGCGAAGTCCTTTCATCAGAGTTGCTGTTCTTCCGACACTGGGCAAGTCCAAGCGCGGGGTTAAAGCAGGGCCTGCCCATAGCTACGATTAGACAGAGCAGTTGGCCTGTTTGGAGCCCAGACGTGGGATGCTGAGTTGGTCTGTGGAGGACGAGCAGGCCGAGGACAGAGAAGGGAAGAAAAGCAAAACCTGCAGGCAAAGAAACCCACTTGGTTTCTGATTTGGTGCCTCAGTTTCTCCAAGGGACTCCTTTCTAAGGGGGCTTCTCGCTTACCATGGCTGCAGCCTCTCTGAAGTCCTTGCTGGTGGGGACCGGCAGCACAGGGACATGGAGCACCCAGCTGGCTGCTGAGGGGGCCTCAGCTGATTCCACCAAGGAACAGCACCCCTGGGCCTTGGCTCTCCCCAGCCCTTCCCCGCAGCTGCACAAAAGCAAAGTCCCCACCCGTATCTGTGCTCTGAGTGCCAAAGCCCACGTCGAAGAGCCCAAGAGAACAAGGTGTGTGTGCCTGTGGTGCAGGAACAGAAAGCAAGTGGGTACAATAAGCCCAGTCAGGCAACAGCTCGGAGAAGCCCCTCTTGGGCACATGCCCTGGGCCAGGCTCCCTTGCCAGCACCCAGTCTTGGCTTGGCTTGGCCCTAGAGCCCTAAGTGTGTGTGCTTTTGTCCAGGGATGAGCCGCAGGAAGAACAGGAGCGCCGTGTCTCCGCACATCTGCCTGGTGCTGGCACGGCCACGCTACTTCCTTACTCCCCATAACAGATGGCCTCGGATGGCCAAGTCACCCACCTAAGGTCATCGGGCTGCAAGTGGCCATGTGGAGACAGGAGCCCTGGTCTGCCTGTTGTTTTTCAACCCGGCCAGTGCGGATGGGGGCTCTCGCAAATGGGGCAAGTAGGCGAGGGAAGGCCACCCGCATTCACAGCTTTCTGCACTTCCTCCTCAAGGCCACGCGGAGGGAGGCTGGGGCTGCCACCCCTCTTCCCTCTCCTCCCCGCAGCAAGCATTCTCCGCTCCCCTCCCTTGAAGCAGGTTCCCCAAAGCAGAGCCTTCTAAGGAGAAAATAGGGCAAAGCCTCTAATGGGAAACTGAAAGGGAATGGAAAATTTCTAATCGATGCCTTTGTACAAAATAACTTCCACACCGGCGAGGGGCTTCTCTGAAGGGAATGCAAAGGGAGCATCTCATCTCTGCCTGAGCTTGTCGGCTCCCAGCTGGGATGGCCGGGATGGCTGACGCAAAGTACAGGGAGAATTCTAAGGAAGACCCAGGCCTCCCCAACTTAACTTCTTGGAGCCTTATTTCCACAGCTGTCACAGGGGGGTGGAGACAGTCTCCTTCTCTTACTGGGTGTTTGTACAAGTACAAAATGCTGAAAGCAGAGTATCTGGTGTTCAGTGAGTACTCCATCAATACTAGCTCTTCTTTTAAAGAGGTTCATTATTATTAGTTTTGGTCATCCCTGGGTTATTTGGCTCATGGGAAGGCAGAGGTATAGAAGACTGGTGCCTTGGTCTAGTGAGAGAAACAGCAACCTCCGTGCTGGCTGGAGGAAGTTAGCTAAGGAAACAGAATGCAGAGACAATGTCAATGCCGCGGCGAGCGTTCCGGGAACTGTGTGACGTCTACCACGCGTGGGGTTGGCGTTCTTTCACTCGCACCATCCCAAGCTTAATGCTCAGGGGAAGAACATAACATGCCCCTGCTCCTCGAGGTAGCTTCTGCCTCAAGCCCCCTGCCCTGGGGAGCTGGGCTGGACCACAAGCAGTGCCTAAGAGTCCCCTTCACAGTCTCCCTTGAAACCTGCAGAAGAAAGGGCAAGGCCGAAAAGCCTGCTCCCAACGGTTTCCTCCTGGGAGGAGCCTATCTGTGAGTCTTTAAAACAGTCTCAAAGCCATGTGTCCTAAGTCTGTCCTACAGGTAGTGGGGGCGCTTTTCTGCTGCTGGGGAGGAGGAGGTTTCGAAGGAGGTGGCAGTGGTGGGGCCTGCGGCCGGGAAGCGCCGTCATACAGCACTCTGGGCCACCGGACAGCAGCTGGGCAGGGCTGTCACCCCGAGGGCTTTCTTTCTCTGCTTCTAGATGGCCACAGGATCTGAGGGGGTTGGCAGTCGTCATGCAAAGACTGCTGGGAGCTGGAAGAGAAATGGAGGAAAAGCAGCCCCTCAGCAGGAAGAGCAGGGGAGGGTGCACAGCAGGGCAACATGCGTGATCCCAGTGTGGGGACTGGAGCAAGGTGGAAACGGTTTGTAATATATCGTTAGGTAGGAAGTAGAGAATATCCAGCGCTGTGTGTACAATTACAGCTCTGGGTAAGTATGTATGCATGTGGACAGAGACCAAAAGGGACTCAAAACAGGAAAAACAACTGTGGAGTAAGGCAGGAATGTGGGTGAGAGAGATTTTTCTTAAGCAGTGTTACGATAAATGTGTACTAGCTTAAACAAGTGGAGGGCAGTCAGGCGGGGACGCATACACAGCCACGCCTTGGCCACACCGCTTGCCACTTTCCCTTTGCACTCCCTGCTGGCTCCCCCAAACCAGCCCTTGCCTGGAGAGCTCAGGGAGGGAGAGGGCAGCTGGTCTGGGTGGCGAAACTCGGGAGAATTGCAAGGCAAGGTGCAGGGATGGCTCTGGCCTACTTGAACTTGGCCCACAAGCCCGTAAGCTGCTTGGACATGTGTCTGCGTCGGGAGGTACAAAGACATTTATGGCACCGTTCTTGTGATACAGAGAAACCAGACACAACCGAGTGTCCATCGACAGGGTAATAGCTACGTAAACTGTGGTCCAGTCGTGCAGTGAAACCCTTTTCGGCGCTGAAGAGAAATGAACCAGAGATCAGTATCAACAAGGAGAAATCTTGAACGTACAATGTTTAGTGAGAAAAGCAAGTTATAGAATGATATTACAGCATGTCAGCACTTAAGTATGCTTCTAAAAAACACACCTGGCACGACTATATATTATTCATGGATTCATACATATGCAGCAAAAATAAGAAAACCAATTATGAAGATACACATGAAACGGATGGTAGCATCTCCCCCGGGGCAAGGAGCAAAGCGCTACGGATGGGAAGCTCACCTTTGTCTGTGCTCACGCTCCCATCTGTTTAGATTTTAAACACCTGAAGCGAAACGGTCACTTCTAGGTGGTGGCCACAAGGGTGCTTGTTCTTATTCTTTGTCCTTTCTTATTTTTTCTTTTTTATGTTCTCTCAATTAAACGAGACACCCAGAATGGGACACTGAGACAGTGCCCAGCCTGCCCTCCCTAGGCCCACGGGGCCAGCCCTTCAAACACTGAGATCGGTCTAGGAAACACACCGTCACTGGCCCCTCACCCTCCACAGATGGAAAAACACGATCTCCAGATGCTTTGTTTCTGTAGAAAATCAATAGGTTCTGCCTCAAATTCATTTTCTGACGGGGGCGGGAAAGAGAGTCAAGTTTGGGAAAGACAGAGGAGGATGGCCGGAATCGGAAGAGGAAGGAGGGAAAGGGAAGCGGAGAAGGAGAAAGATAAGGAGCAGGGAAAGAGGGCGACAGAGAAGCCGGAGAAGGAGATCCTACAGCCCAGGGCCCTCATGCTGCCGCCCCCCGGGCAGCCAGGCTGGAAGCA